CGCCTTCAGTTTAGTGAAAAACTCAACTCACTTACTTTCTGCTTTAAGTATGAAGAAGACTACTTTCTTTTCGCCTAGTTTAAAGCCCCTGTATCATAATGTGAAAGAGGATGTCATTTAAAACACATTTCTGCAAGGATTTTCAAAACAAATGTGTTTGGAGTCGAATATTGATGAAAGTATACAAAATGTAGGTTTTCCGCGTAAGACAGAAAACACAAATTATGTATTTAAAAAAAAAAATTGTTCTCAAACACATTTGTTGGTGGGCTAAATCTTTGCTGCAATGTATCATAAATGACATCCTCTTTCATATTGTGATACAATTTAAGTGAAACTTTGCCATCTAATTTTAGGAGAATTTGGGTCTCCCAACACTTTAGAGGGGCTTTAAGAAATTCCCCTTAATTAAATGAAGTATAAGTATCCTTAGCCTGAAAGTACTCTTGCCATTTTCATGGTGTCTTTTTGATCAAGTTGCAATAGCGACAGGGTTTACTCCCAAAATACTATTAACATTGAATAACATAAAGCCAATAGGCCAAATACGCAGTTTATTTAACATTAATTATGCAAGCAGAAAATCGCAAACTCATGTTTCATGAAGTCTCTATTCTTTGTATTTTCAAAAGACTAATCCACAACCGATTACAGATCGAAAGGAACTGTAAAACAAAAAAGCTATGCATTTTTGAAAACACTGTTATTCAAGAAAACGAAACATGTTATTTCAATTGATTGTGTATGATTGTTTGATTTGTTCAAAAGCATATATTTATCAATAAATTCATTTTACACACACACACAAAAAAAAAAAGCCAATAGAGTTGAGAATGTGTCTGTTCATCAATTTGAATTGAATGATTTTATCTAAATAGAAACAACAGTTCGAAAACATTTAAATAAGCGATCAAATGACACTGACTTGCTGAGAAGAATGGCATATACGAAATTATCATATTTGTAAAGAAATCACATTAAAAGATACTATCATTTCAAATTATCAAAATCAGTACAATTAATTCATTATTGAGAATACAGATCGAAGAGCTTTCGTAGAAATAGCTTTGGGAATGTTGATCGTTTAATCTGCCAAAATCGTATGATGAGGAAAAGTAAAAGTCGAAAGACCTTTTCTTTGGGATCACCCGCCTTCACCACACTGCTACCTGAGACTTTGCAGGATGTCAAGGGTATTTCCCTCTCAGACTGAAACGTCAATCAAACCTTGAGCGAAAGGAAATACCAGAAGGATGTAGTCAATAATTTATCATACTTTTGATAAAACAATAAAAAAAACAAAAAAACGTAACGTCTCAATATCCTGTGTGTGTGTGTTTGTGTGTGTGTTTGTGTAAATGGGTTTTTACAGACGTGTATCAATCAGATATGATTATATACGTCTGGGGACCGACCTTTAATGTCACCATCCGAAAGACATATTTGCACGTTGCAATACAAGGCTAAAATGTTGATTTTTCGAAATTGGTTGCTATCATGATAAATAGATTTCCGCGACGCCCCTTCCTTGCATAGTATCCTTAAATAGTACACCCTGATTTAAAGAAAAAATGGCAACAACAACAAAAATTCATATTGTGTTTCGTTCTTGGAGAATTGCATTTTTGAGAAGCAATTTTTTTTGGGGAACTTAAAACGGTGCTCCTTTCTTGGAAACTTGTATTTTTCAATTAGAGATTAAAACGGCATTAGTAAAGGTTGAACTTGTAAAACATATCAATTACAGATTCTTTAGCATTTACGTCATTACTAATCCGAGTGAGGGTCGTTAGTAACACGATATACGCCATTAAAACGTGGTAAAATTCCCGTTTTGCGTGAAATATGCGATATCCTTTATATTATGAAAATATGACGGGATTACACACAAGAGGCAAACATTATACTACCAGCAAAATCAATGCGTTAGCTACCTTTGAGTTTAGGTTATCAAGTTTTAGAAGGATGTATTTACGCACTGGGAAGAGCAGGAGCGTTTCTGGAAGATTTGTTATTTTGTTAATTTGTTGTTAATTTTTTTTTTTTTTTTTTTTTTTTTGGGGGGGGGGGGGGGGGAGGGGTGTCTTTGTGGGGCTTGTTTCGGGATTTTCGCATTTATTTTTCACATCTGTCTGCTTTTTTTTTTGGGGGGGGGGGGCTTGAATAATTTCTTTTAGAACCGCTTCTGCTGAGAAGACTTCGGTACGAAAAAAAAAGAAAAATTTAAATTAAAAAAAAAAAGCAAATTTTGTATATATAACTACATGAAAAGTTTTATGATTTACATTTTCTATAACAAGCATCAGCGTGCGGCTAAAATCGGGTTAAATTAAATAAAAGAAATCTCACGATTTTCTTTTTTAATTTGTTTTGGTAAAAATAATGTCAGACCCCCCCCCCCCCGCCCCTCTTGCCAGAGAATTCTGGATCCGCCACTGAAAACAGCTGATCGTAAGAAAAATGATTCAAATTTCTGGATCCCGGATGCGGATCGATGCCTGTAATATCCTTTCAAATATCTCTAATAACCTGAGAATATATACAGCGGGGGAGGGGGGGGGGGGGGGGGTCATAGTCAGTTCATAGCATATTACATTTCGATTTTGCCACTGATGTGTGATCAAATTTTCAATTTTACCGGCAGGCCTTATCGAAATTCATTGAAAACTCAAGATTTTCAAATAGAAAATCTAAAAGGGGTCTCTCTTTCCTTTTTTTGGGACAACTCTGATTTTGTTATGAGTGAGAAATAATGTCATGATTTATCAAGTTATGAGGCGCGATAGCTCAGTGACTCAGTCAGTAGAGCAGTGGTCTCGTAATCCGGTGACCCGGGTTCGAAACCAAGCCGATGCGCTATATAGTGCCCTTTGGTAAGGCATCAATCCTAACTACCATGCAGGTCCCTCGGAGAGGACCTAAAGCCTTCGGCCGTCTGGTTGCTTACTTACAAGCATTTATGCTGTCTTAGCAGTCAGGTAAAATAACCAACCATCAACATTATATACCATTTACGTCCGGGGTGGGTAAGATCTTTGGCTAGCATAATAATCAGGGAGCAATCGCCTTGCCCCCATTCCCTCCATAACGCTGCCCCTGTATCTCGTTTTTCAACAATGAGGTCATGAAGTGTGCAGATTAATTTCAATAGCCTGGATTTGTTATGGTTTATTTAGCGAGGCTATACTGCGAGAAAGAGAGGCGACCGATAATTGATAAGAGTTGGGACTCAGTCTAAGGGCATTTCTCTCTCTCTCTAAAAAAAAGGTGAATTTTCACTCTATTTTCACTTTCTTGGGAGTGACGTCCGTGATCTCTTGTTTAGGAGTGAATATCGATTGATTTTCGAGTGCTCTCTAAGAAGAAAAGAGTGAATGTTCAAGATGGGGTAAGAGGACACTTTTTTTTTGTTTGGTCTCGAAATTTGACAATTTGATATTTGCTCCGTTTGGGGGGGGGGGGGGGGGGGGGGTAAGGTCAACTTATTTAGATCAGCCATAGGTATAATTTAAAAAAAAATTACAAAAGGGGGGGGGGGGTTCCTCCAAAATAAACACATACAAATACCCCCTTGCGTACGCGTCCTGACCTTGAACCTTGAACCTTGAATAATTACTCTCCCAAAAGCGTGAACGCTGTCCTGGAGAGGGCTGTGCTGTGTTGCGTGCTGTTGGTGATGTGCTGTTGGTGAAGTGATGGTGGTTGTTCTCCTTGCACTATATACAATGTGCAGGGTGCAGTGTGCAGGTGGGTCAGGTGTGTCCCTCGTTACAACATCTTCAGGGGCAGGGGCGGCGTCATAGTCTGTATGGCGGGTAGTGCCGCTCCCCTAAGCCAATTGTATTTGCAGTGACAGCGTTGCTTGGTAGAGTGTTCCAGACACGGACTGCTCTGGGCAACATGCTGTAAAAAAAAAAATTTTTGGTTAAAAATCGCTAATCTTAGACGAGTAAATGTAGTTAATGGTTAATAGGAGAATCAAATAGTAAATCGTATATTATTCCAATAAACGTTTACAACCAATTTATCCAACAGGCCTTTTTTAGAGGGAGAGAAGGGCGGGGGCGCTTGTGGCACATGTCATCAAGATTTGCTTATTATGGAGCCCTGCCAGTTCTGTTTAAAATAAGTTTATATTTAACCATATTTTTTTTTAAATGTTTATGATTTTTTATTATGTTTTCAGAACTGCAAAAACAAATTGAATTGAAAAAAAACTGAAAGAAATTTATGGGCCTGACCAACTGACTTCGCTATCTTGTGATTTAATGTAGTTGTCGGACTTGACAATGAGATTAATACGATCTTGAGATTGCAGTGACATGCTGAGACCTTAGTAAACATCTCCTATAACTAAGGATGCTCTCGAAGCCACCATCAATCTTTGAGTAGGCCTGAGTGGTACTCGGTCACTGTGTCATAAACTCAAAGGTTGATTTAATTTGAATGGTGTATAGCTAACATGGCGCAGGGTGCCTCTCCCCAGTCGAATTTTGTTTAAAGGGAAAGAGAAAAAGAAAGAGAGAAAGAGAGGGGATCGAGAGAGAGAGAGAGAGAGAGAGAGAGAGAGAGAGAGAGAGAGAGAGAGGGGGGGAGGGGGGGGGGGGGGGGGTAGTGAATATTAAGAGAACAAGATATAGATTCGATAGGGAGAGGGAGAAAGGGCCGGAAAGGGGATAAAAGGAGCTAGGAGAGAGAAAGGGATGGAGGGGGGGGGCCCGGGGCGCCTAAATAATTAACATAATGTTTGTTTTAGTCGGTACATTTTTATTTCATTCAACAGTTTGACCTACTTTCGTTTTTGGAAAGTTGAAACCAAATGTTTCCCCTAATGCAAAATAATAATCTCCGAGTTCTAGTACGAGTGCACGGATCTTTGTGAAACATTTCTGGAAGAGAGCTCTGACGTCATCCACTCTTTTCTGGGAACATAAAGCCACACAATATCGGCGGAAACTGAACACATATATGCACCAAAACGTCTGCGAGTCTCGTTCCGACAGCGATTGATACTATACTGTGTGCGGATTGTGGTAAGAGCTTTTCTGCTGCTAAATGTCACTTTGAATGGGCTATAATACACATTATTTGGCGACTTCGGTTAACGATATGGTAAGTGCTCATAATTTTTATTCTGCTATATTAAAACACTCTTTTACTTTTTCGTTGTGATTTAAAGAACTTATTGTCGAAGTAGCCGAGGAGCAGTCGCTGTGTTTGGTAGCGGACCTCCCAGTTCATTCCCGCCCCACCTGTAGGGCTGGTATTGGTAGCGGGAGACTGCAGTCTAACTGAGACATGTATGGCCTTTGCACACGGCGTAACTCAGAAGTTTTGCAATTTAGCCAATAGCATTAGTCATATGGAATTCCTGGTACAACAAGTTAAATGGACGGAAGAAATAGTACTGGAAATAATCCCTGGCTTATTGTTTTGTTTCCGTGTAGAAGGAATCTTCCTTGATTGGGAAATTGTGGGGAGTTTGAGTTCATGATATTTAAATTTGAAAAGGGTGATGAAAAGTTTGAGATAAATCAGATAAATTATGACTTGTATCTTGGATTCTTTTCCTCCTAAATACTCCGAAGAAGAGTTTTCATTGAAAAGAAAGTTGCACATAGTATTATGAAGTTGCAATCAAATTACTTTTGGGAAATCCTAATTGAGGAATTCTAGAGGGGAACAAAATAGATCTAGATAGCCTACTCTTAAACCATTGAGTGTCACAATAACAAGAATTGATAAACTCTTGTCTATAATCAACAGGGTTGTCCTCAGCCCCACTCTTTTCTTTGGACTAAAATGTTCATGAAAGCTTTTCTTCTCCAGTTATTTTTTAATCACTATTTTTCATATCATCTAGGCCTATAAGAGGAATATGATCACATTTATACTTGTTATTGTTAATTTTACCATTTCTTAAAATGGCAAAGATAAATTGCTGAATGGTTATGCTCTAGATGGTTATTTGAGTAGAAACTGGGGAAAAGACAGCAAGACAGCAACAGATAGAAATGACAACATAACAACAACACAACTGTTGTTGAAAACTTGTTTCCCAACTCTGAAGACTTGCTTTCCTCAATTATTTGTACTTTTCACATATCTATTTTTTAACCAACTTCTATGTTTCCTGTGATATGTCACTCATTGTAATTCTATCCCATTCACATTTGTAATCAAATCTTTTAGATACCATTTGATTCAAATGGCATTTAAGACGAAGAATATGAAGAGAAAGAAGTTATTTAGAGGAAATAGGTATACAAGAGAAGAACGTAGTGTCATACAACATAGAAGTAAAAGGAGATCATAGTTGAAAATGTAGGATTGTCCTCTAACTCTGCAAACCAGCAGTATAACATGTTTAATACATAATAGTGGTAAGACCCTGCAAATTTGTATCATCATGTAGTCAAACATGGTGCTAGACTATTTTTCCTTTCTTGCGTCTTTTTGTATCATTAGCCTGTTAAAAATGTAACCATTTTTTTAGGGGGGGGGGGAGGCATCCAAAGTGACATTTTAAGGATCAGTGTAATCTCTATTTGTATCAAGTCCCTAGGAAAGCATATTCAAAAAGATTATTTTTTACTGATTAGGAGAAATCTAAAACTCTTAAGGAAGGAAATATTATGTACATGTTATATTTTAAGGTCCTTTTACATAAATCTCTTCTTTGTATAGTAAACAGGAAGAAATTTATATCATGAAGGAACTCATGTATGTTTGTTCCTGTACCTGCTAAATATCATGTTACAAACATTTCTCCCTTAATATAAAACAGTCACATCTAAAAATATTCCTTAGAAATTAACAGTAGTGAAGAAGAAGAAGAGGAAGAGGAGGAGGAGGAGGAGGAGGAGGAGGAGGAGGAGGAGGAGGAGGAGGAGTAGGAGAATACAATGTAGTTTAATTCAAAGAAATTCTTGTCACTTTCTCTTTAATATTCAACTTTCAGTTTGAAAAGCATTCAATTATTTCTGTTGTAAATAATGCATGCATTCTTATTTATCATGACATTTTAGTTAAAATTTTTCATAAGCTTCCCTTTTTTAAGAATTGAATGAAATAATTTTGAATTTGCACACAGAATTGCCCTGTTACCCCTTTTCAGATACAAAAGTGTACATACTAAACTCTCTGGTGAAACTAGCCTATAAAAAGGCTTGTCAACAGCATACACTGTGTTACCAAAGGTTCATGATTAAAAGCCTCCCAAGGGCTGAAAAAGATCACAAAACTATACTTGGTGTGTTCATAGTTGACTACAGTTCAGTGACTCAACGTGAGAGCATTTTGTCTGTGACGAGCCAGAAAGTTTTGAACTCTGTTAAAGGTACTATGTCCCTTTTGCAGCCAACCACACATTCTGTAGAACTTTGCAGGAATAATGAATATGTCATGTATGTCCTAACTGTGAAATTTAAACATCAGCAGTGTCCTCATATTCAAATTATGCAAGGAAACCCATTTAGTTGCTAGACTTCACTGTCAGACACTATTGAGTGACTGACTGGCTTTTTTCTTCTTTGGTAATAACATACATGAAAAGAGTTGTAAAGGGTACATGAGCATAATTTGTCTACATCAATAACCCACTTCTTGTGATGGCCAAGATTAAACTGATTGAATTTTTGTGCTGCATAAAATGTATGACCATTCGGTACAATCGTCTGAAAATCAAGACTATTACTTTTGGGCTCTATAGCCCTAAAGTCGATTTGATAACCAATAGTCATTATTTTCCCATTTGAAGACATTTTGAAGCCCCACCTTTTTTAGAGAAGTTCTAAATAAGTATTATCTTTCAAATGCAGTTGGAATTTAACTGTTTCATTTGTTGGCCTGCAAATGGGACATAGTACCTTTAATGTTTATATGATAATGCCCTTTTGGACTGAACAGGCATCTCTGCCTTTGGGTATCTGATGAAAAGAGTTAAGTTTTGTGGAAATTTCTCTTTGAATGCTGAAGAAGAAAAGTTGATCAAACTTTGGTAATTATACTACGGTGACATACTTGACAGCATACATGGAGGGAGCAATAAATTAAGGATATTTTTAGATCTACAATAATTCATTTGATTGATGGTGGTAGATATGCTTTGTCGTCTTTGGAGAATGAGGAATGGCCCCTGTTTTAATGTGATTTTTCTTTGATCTTCTGTCATGAATACATTGCCAACACCATGATGAATGCCTCACTATTTTCTTTACTGTTATATATTATTTACAGGTAAGATTGCATCTGAAAGCGGGCAGGGCAAGCGCAGTTGGAACTGTGCGGCAGATAGTGATGGTTTTCATAATAGCGAAGGGAGCTTTATGTACAAAAAATTGTTAGAAATGAAAAATATCCAATTAAAAATAGGAAAGTTATGAATTTTTGAAATTGTCATCAGTGAAACACAAATTGGCAACACTTTTTTGATGCATCTTGCGAGCTCCTGTCCAATGTACTCACAACTGAAATTTCATAAACTTTCATTTTCTGGGTTATAGATGATGAAATACAATACATGTAGATTTGTTTCATGCAGGGGTTGTATAGAAAATGTATTTGCAATAATTATATTTAAGATGAATGTATGGTTGAACATTTTCTGAAAGGAAAATATAAATTTTGAAAGTTTTTTGGTACAGGGCAAATAGGAGGGGAGCTCACAAGATATGTCACTGACTTGCTATTTGTGTTTGATTGATCGCACCTTCGAAAATCCCTAACTTTCTTATTTTTTGCTCAAATTTTACTGACCTGTTTCTCTCATTTTTCTGCTTCTATTAAATCAACATAATACCAAGGTAGACTTGCTCTTTAAGTCCAAACTAAAAGTCCAAACTAAAAGTCCAAACTAAAAGTCCAAACTAAAAGTTACTGAATATAGTTTCCTTTGGGTTCAGGACTACATGAATTTTACTCAGTTTTATTCAAAATCCCCCCCTCCCCTCTTCAAATTGAAAAAATGTGTGGATTTGTAGTTGAGTATGTATATATGCCCCTGCTTCCATATATCCACCTGTTCAACCTGTTCCACCTTCAATGTACCTGATGTACCAATCTACCTGATTTTGTGCCCCACTAGTTCAATGCTTCAGTTGGTCAAATTTGGAATAATTCAGAAGAATTATTGTCATGCTTGGCAAATCTTTTTGTTGATAGAGAGATATGCTGCAGGGCTGTAATTCAATGGTGGCATATATTCTCTTGATTATGACTGTAACCTTAAAGGTACAAGTCAAGCCAGCTTAGGCTGATTAATGATTTGAAGTTGTTCCACATTTATATATTAAAAAAAGATCAGATTCACACTGACTGAAGGGTAACAATACAGTAATAATAATAGCTAGTTCTGTAGCGCTTTTCAGGACCGAAGGCCCTCCCAAAGCGCTTTACAGATATAAATATTATTACCCCGGTCATAGGATTCAGGCTTACCCGCACACAATGTATGCACATTCTCCACTCCCTGGGGAGCATTCCAGCCAGGCGTCTTTTTTACAAGCACACACATGCTAATCTAACCACATTAGCTTTCGCATCCTACCCGGTACCCATTTAACACCTGGGTGGAGAGTGGCAAATGTAGATCAATGTCTTGCCAAAGGACATTAGTGCCGCGGTGGGACTTGAACCGCGAACCTTGTGATCCACAGTCCGGTGACATATCCACTCGTCCATGACACCTCTACATACAATACAGGTAGAAGAAGTACAATGAACAATTAATTAGCAAAGTGTATTGAGGGAAGTCTATATCTATACATCCCCAGGGAGTGGAGAATGTGCATACCTTGTGTGCGAGTAAGCATGAATCCGATGACCGGGGTAATAATATATATCTGTAAAGCACATTGAGAGGGCCTGCGGTCCTGAAATGTGCTAAAGGACGAACTATTATTATTATTATTATTATACATTTAGGCAACATAAAAACAATGTGAAATGTGAGGAGATTAAATTAAATACAAAAATCAAAGTTTTTACAAGATGAGGTTCATGTAAAGAGTGGTATTTCCAAGTCCGATTACTAGGAAAAGGTGAAATAAGAAACCTACAAAGCGAACAAACTTTGGAGTAAAACAAGAAAAGAAGTCCTAATGATAGCATTC